CAAAATGGCGTCCATGACGTCAGTTGGCCAGTCTCTCTGTGTATAAAGCCCTGGGTAGGAGCTTTTTAAATATTATAGCTAACTTGTTAGCTCTTTATCTAAATCTTACATAATGTATCTTTAACTAGATGTGACGACATGCAATATTACATTTTTTTGTTAATGTCATGGCGTCGATGAGTTAATGTTATGGTGTGGGGTATTGGCTTTAAACTAACCTGATTTGAGTCAAAACTTCTAGAATGCGTAGACCAGGATGTAATAACCATTGTCGTTGTGGTTTCCTCGATGTCGACAAGAGGCTATATCTAGACACAGGCCGGAAAATCCATTATTGTCTCATATCTATCGTTTCAAATTCATTATATTATCTACATATTTAGTTTTATAATTGTCATCATTATTATTGAAGTACATTGTTATTATTATTGAAAAACCGGACAAGCGCGACAACAAAATACGTCCACATTGAAAATCCGGACCTTCTATGTTGATTATCGAGTGATATCACCGCAAATTTACTAGCACCCGGATGCGAGGCGAGGTTCATGGGTCCAATAAAATGAAATGAAATGGGGTTTAACGTCCTACTGTTCTGCTCCTATACTGGGCTATGAGGGAAATTTTGCCCGACATGGGCACTATCGCCTACTCTTTATCGAATTCCAACTGCCAAGGGATCTTTTACGTGCATTCCAATGTATACACGGGAGCTCAGTTTTTCGTCTCATCCGAAGGACTAGACAGCTGTCCTTGTCAGACCCCCCATTCTGCACCACTGACAAGAGGAAACCACGTCGGAAAATCTGGATGAACTTTCCCAGCCAATGCAGGGATCGAACACCCGACCTCCAGGCTAGCGAGCCAGCGTCTTAATCACCTAGCCACCGTGGCTCCCTCGTGGGTCCAATAAAAAAAAGGGTGTGCCCACGCTGCATCCAAAAGCACCCCATGACCAGCTATGATGGCAAAATGCTTTTTATTTCACAGAATCAACAGATGAACAGTTTGATTGGCCGACACTTTGGAACACAATAACTCTCCTTCTAATTGAGCTAGAATGTTCAAACTTGGTCTAGGCGTTTATTAGGGCAATGCCTTGATGGGTTCGAAGATGGGCATTTTCTGCTTAGGTAAGCAGAGATAAGCAATTTGATTGGTTGATGCTTTGGGACACGATAACTTTACTCTTTAGTTCTAATTAAGTGAGAGTTATGAAACTTGGTGTATAGATTCACTACATCAATACCCTGACTAAATTTGATAATGAGCATGTTCTGCTCAGGATAAGCAGAGCGATAAGCAATTTGATTGGTCGAGACTTTGGAACACAATAACTCTCCTAATGGAGGTAGAATGTTCAAACTTGGTGTAGGCGTTCATTAGGTGAATGCCTTGATTGAGTTCGATGATGAACATTGTCTGCTTATGGTAAGCAGAGATAAGCAATCTGATTGGTTGATGCTTTGGGGCACGATAACTTTGGTTATAATGAAATGAGTGCGATGAAACTCCGAAGATAGATTTATTATATCATTACCTTGACTAAGTTCGATGGTACGAATTTTCTGCTTAGGCTAAGGAGCGATAAGCAATTTGATTGGTCAAGACTTTGGAACATAACTCTGCTTTTAATTGAGGCAGACTGTTTAAACTTGATGTAGATGTTCATTAGGTGAATGTCTTGGCTGAGTTCAATGATTTAACATTTCGAGCTAAAGCTAAGCAGAGCTAAGCAATTTCTTTGGTCGATGCTTTGGGACAAGATAATCTTGATTCGATGTGACAGGGAGTGATGAAACTTAGTGTATAGTTTGATTGCTTTGAAAAAAAAATAAATGTGCGATTAATTAATATGTGTCATCTATTTTTGGGGGATTTCGGCGGGAGACATCAACCTCACTGTTGACTTGTTATTTATTTATATTTGCTGAGTACAATAAAACTTATACCCAGAATATATAAAGTTGTCAAAAGGTTGTTACTGGAAAGATGCTTTTAAAAAATCTTGTTTATTTTCTGGAAAATATTTGACATAGGCAGATCAATTTTTGGTTGTCATTTAACCCAGAAGGCAGGGAAACTAAGACAGGAAATTATACCATACGTCAACTAAGAGATTCTTTATTATTTTATGGTTTAATACCCTGTTACAGGATGTACATGATTTCTGGGGACAGAAACGTTTTTAAATACAAAGTTGAATTAAACTTATTTGTAACCATTACAAATTGTTTTTAAACAAGTGTTTAATTTTATATTAATTCATTCAATTTTTGGGGGGTAAGAATACTGCATGATTAATATTTAATAAGTGCAAAGAGGCATCAAATTTTGGCATTTTTAATGTTTTGATATTAGCAAATACATCAAAATATATCTCGTGAATACTTAAAACTGTTTGGTTTTCAGTTTGTTTTAAAAATAAATTTCTACCAATTTTGATAATGACTCATATGCCATAGAATTATATAAGAAAGTTTTGTTAAATATTTAAACCTTTTTAAGATTCAAATAGATAAGGTAAATGTTATTCGCTACTGTGTCGGAAATATCAAGAAATAACAAACCGTTTTCATAGAAACTCAAAATTTCAAAACGCATAAATCGGATTGTTCATTGTTATATTAAGAAAGAACCCTAACCAAATTCAAATCTAATGGGATCAAACACTATAAGCACAATGTTAATTTGAATCAAATTGAAATAATAAATATAAGCAAAGTTTAGTTTCCAAATTTTTGTATCATATCCCATTTGGAATCAAAGATCTCCGACTCATCCAACACCACATGAAGGTCGCCACATCATCGAACTGTCCCATCAATACCAAAAACGGGTGCAGAACTCCAGTCTGAATGAGACGACATAATGACTACAGCATCTAAATGTAACAATTCATTTAGATGGGCTTGTTAATGTTCCTGGAAGCCAATGAGTATATACATGGATTGTTTATGAGATGGTGAATTTCTAGTATTGATTCCATGTTTTGACAGCACCCAGGCAACCGATGTCCAGATCGTGTTTGACAGCAGCCAGGCAACCGATGTCCAGATCAAATCCACGTAATCACATAAGAGGGAAGCGAGAAGGGAAATCTGGTGAGAATCGGGATTGTGACAAGACTTCGAAAACATTTTTAGCACCAGATTCCGCTCCGATGAAAACTGTTCGGACATCAAATATTGTGTAGGAGTAAGCAAGATGTGACCTTGCTATAAACAGACAATGCAGTTAGGGTCGTTTACAACACACGTTAGATTTCCGTCTACCAACTGATACAGCAAACAATACCCCTGATTGATTTAGGACTGGTTCCAGAAGAGCATACATCATCCTCCCGAACATCTACCAATTGAATGGAGTTAGAGGATATCTTGTATGATCTGAACACGGTGGTCATGATTCGAGTTTTCTGGTATTCAGATTGGTTGGGCTGAGTCTTGAACGGCACTTAACTTTTCTAATCTTATCCAGACCAACTCAGGAATCAAAATCAACGGTCAGGAGGAGTCATTCTCTATTATTCAATAAAAATTGACAAAGAAAATGCAAATAGTGCCATCTTGACACGTGAAAGTGGAACTGATTTTAATATCAACCTGTCTGCTATCGACACCCCTGGTGGTCCTGGTGGCATTCATTAGTCATTATGTAACATAAACTTCTGGTTGTCCTGTTTTATTTAACTTCCTTTGTCTGATAAGCAAACTGTACTGAATGTTAAATCTGATTGATACAGTAGCCAGATGTGTAATGAGATCCTTTGTCTAGAAGGGTTTATAAACCCAGAATACAAACGAATCGATAGACGAGGCTAGGCGAGGCCGTCTAGAAGTTAACTTGGGACCAGGCAGGTCTCGAGTTAAGATCGTACATCTGCCATGTAAGTTAGTTGGGAGTTGGCACCCAAGGGTGTAAAGCCAAACTAGGACCATGGCTCCCTCAACACAAGCTAATTACGGATTCCTAAGTTTTGTACATAATATGTTAGAAGAAGAATAAAAGTATCATGATTATGAAGTTAAACTAGTCTTGTCATCAAGGACCTGATATAAAGACCCAATACTGTAACAAAACGTTCGAACATAAGCATAGGGGTCCGATATTTTTTTATTTTAGGGGGGGGGGGGGGGTAGAACTGTCTTCATTGCAAGTGACCCCTGTGACTGTCGACGCTGCCCGAATTATTTCGGCGAACTCAGGCCGTCACGAAATAAATCGTGTAAAAAATGGAATTGGGCTTCTAAACGGGTAAATTTTGTAGCCGTTTCTGAAATGAAATGGGGTTTAACGTCCGACTGGTACAATGCAGACAGTAAGTGTCCCGCCCTAATAGATGACGCATTATAATTGCTATATAGCAGAGAGCTGGTTTGATTTACCCTCAGATATCATAGAGCGGCCCGAGAGGGAAACATCGTAGCCCCCTCGGCTGAGAGGCTGGGATAGAGACAATGTAGTATTTAACCGGTTAGGTCTGAGTTGTAAAGGATGCTAAACTCAGACCGTAGATATTTTAATAACGCCCAAAGTAGTTTTCCTGGATTTAACTTTGTAGTTTGCTGTATTTGTTTAATTATATAAACTTAGTAACAACATAAACGGTGTTCTAGAGTTAATTGATGATTGAAATAATTTATCCCTCAACGTGAAGTCGAAGAAAGTCATAGACGATAATGTCACATCTAATATTTTTATTTGTTGCTAAGACCACAGGATAGTGTTACATATAGACTAGAAAAGCAATGTGTTATTTCTAATTTTCGAGTTGCATTTTGGCTTGGTATGCGTGTTGGCACCGTCTTACTGACATGAATGAAAACAAACATATGACCAAGTCGAAGGTCGACACGACGCTACACAAACCAAAATGCAAGTCGAAAAGTAAACGTCACAACCAAACGAGGGGCGCTATTATCGCGGTGTTTTTAGTTCTTAATTTCCTATTTTCGAGTCGACTTTGGCTTGTATAGCGTGCTGTCGCCTCACATTTTGTTTTAACTTAGTCATAAATTATTTCCTCATAGATCTTCGCAGACTTTATACATATAATATTTAATTTAAGGATATAAATTGAGTTATAGAGAGTTGATTTGATGCAAGTACACTTTACAACAAAAAGAGTAAGTTCTTAAAACTAAAGGTAAGGAGTTTTGTTTTATATTTCTAAGAAATGGTATTAAATGTTTGATATTGACTAGGAAGATTCCTCCATGTTGGATCAAGTTAAGATGATTTTATCCCCGGATGTATAAAGGGGTCAGAACCAAAGTGGGCTAACCCACAATTTTTTTATACCGTGCGCGCCTCATGGGTGTTTTTCAGGGCATCCAGTAGTTTGTTTTAGTAAGAATGAGGTGTCTCTACTTTCTATATGTACCTAATGTGCCATACTTGTATGATATACGAAAATATATTTTTTTTAAAAAAACCGACTCATCCCCACATATTAGTGACCAAATCCTGAGAATAAGAATCAAAACGGTTGTTTGTTAAACAAGCGGTTGCCATGAATACGCCAACATTTTGCAAGAGATGGACAGAGAACAAGCTAAAAAAGCGATTTTGGGTACAATCAGGGACCATAATCCAGGATGTTACGGTCTGACACGCGATAATATCAAAAGGAACCAAGATCTATGGGATATAAGCATTTTAAGTTTCATCAAAATCGTGTAAAATTGGAACAGACGTCCGGACTGATAGGGGCAACGACAATATACGGTCCACACGAAAATATGAGCGTATAAAAAAAATCTTAAAATACACTACTGGTACTATAAACTTAGTATCTGATTTGAAAAGTTTTGTTTAATCGGTAAATAGAAGCGTGTCTTGAATTAAAAGTGTTTTCATTAAAATTGTTCATTTTTGTGCTTAAGTTTTTGTGGGTTACAGGCCCAAAAAGTAGAAAATATGTTAGAACCAGAGTGGGCTAACCAATTTTCCCACAAAATCGCAGAAAAAATATTAAAATGAGAACTTAATAATATACTCATGAATTAAGGCATGGCACGTTGGATGTCAAAATATCACTGATCTTGATGAATCTCAAAAAGTTGTCAAAGTGGGTTAGCTTTGGTTCTGACCAGTGCCGGTCAGGTCATTGACCAAGGCCCACACAAGTACGCGCCGAAGGCTATATAGGTTCTCCCCCCATGAAAAGTTTGAAAATTGACAACCGCAAACCCGTTTTCCAAGCATTTCAGACCAAAGCCGAAGGCCCACCTGTCAGGTCTTTGACCAAGGCTCACACAAGTACGCGCCAAATGCGCGCTAGCGTCCGATGGGGTTTTGGGGGGGGGGGGTCTCCCCCCATGAAAATTTTGAAAATTGACAACCGCAAACCCATTTTCCAAGCATTTCAGACCAAAGCAGAAGAGGGCAAATTTTTGATTTCCTGATACAATGTCTTGTGTCCTGTCCTCTTCTTTCTTTTCTCCCCTCCCCTTTCTTTCTCTTTCTCTTTTCTTTTTTCTTTTTCTTTTTTCTTTATAGGCTTAGGCCCACTTTTTTTTAATGAGCTTAGGCCCACCTGTCACGGACAGGTGGACAGGTGGGCCATGTTCGGCACTGGTCGTGACCCCTTCATATTAAGGTTGAAAAGTTTTGTGAATACTGAATATTATGTATCTTACTGAGTTACATGTAGCTACTTCAGTCAATTATTTTGTTCTCATAAGATTCATAGAATGGTTAAGAACGAAACGTTATCTACCGAATTTTAGAAAATGAGTAAAGAGTATCCTCGTCGAAACGTGGCTTAGTATTAAACTCAGTAATTGTGTATCCATACAATTGAACCTTGTGCGCAAAGAGGTTCAGGCTACAAAACTTTTATTTTGTGGTTCAGAGGTCTGCCAAACAAATAAATTTGAAATAAATATATTGTTTTCAGTTCACAAGATAATATCAACGATCCTGTGATAAGTCATGTACCAAAAGAAAAATTAGTTATACCTAATAATCAAGAAAATTGATTAACTATGGCATCTAAGAGAGATTAATATGTTCAATTACTAAATGCCAATCAAAGAAGTTATGAAATATGTCATAACTGTACATCTGGAAGTCAAGGGGTGGAACATTTAAACAACCAAACTACAATAGATAGATATAATTTTGATATAATATCTGTAGTTTATTATTGCCTAAGTACAATTTAAAGGACAATATTGGTGTCAGTCATTATTACATATATGATAGAACTGGTTAAATACATTTTAAATATAATTTTAAAAAAGAGATCATTGCTACGGGAGATGTGTATGTAACACAACACGCGACAACACGACATCACGACAGTATTGACGCAATCACACGACACTATACTCTGTCGTAACATAGTGTTAGACCGGAGGCTCAGCGCGGGGGGTGTCCATCAAATGGCGCAAAACCAACCCCAACTTTTCTAGAGTAAAATTTTACGTAGAATACGCCGCCGAGTGGTAATCAGTCCGCCGTTGGGACGTTTTCGAGATATTCGGGGTCAAAGGTCAAATGGGTTCATTTGCACTGAATGTGAATGTGCGGTCATTAATGTATCATGAAAATAGGCTGAAAATGATCGAAAATAGTCACACTTTCAATAAAAATGTAAACTTTCTAAATTCACCTTTGTTCTTTGTGACCCCAGGGGTCAAAAGGTCACATTTTCCGTTTTAGCACTAGAAAGATTTAAAGTTTTGAATGTCAGCGTAAAATATAAAAACTAAAGCCAAACCTGTTCTATTTAATAATAGGAACATTTAAAATTTAACTCTAGGAGGTCTTATAGCACCGAACTTTTACTTTGGAACGTCGAAAATGATCTTACATAACAGAACCAACACACTTTGAAACCTGTTTCAAAAATACGTAAAAACTGTCAAATCGAAATCTCTCCGATTTATTTTCACAACGATTGTTATACATAATGATACCAGTTATCTGAAAAACAATTGAATAGTTTCAGTGTTGGACTCCAGTCTGTAGGCCGCGTGGGTTTCCGAGAATCCCAGTCTAGGAAAACCGACGTTAATCTGTGACGGGAAAACACGAATCGGACGACGAGATTGAGTTTTTATGAATTTCGCCGGAACATGGACGCAGATAAAACCGACAAATGCATTGTACATAGTAGTTCACAGGATATATATGTCGTATTGGTAAATGTTAGCGGGGGTAAACTTTGGCAGGCTTTGTGGCGCGTCCTGCAGTCTGGAGTCCAGTCATGAAATTCGGAGAGATTTTGATTTAACAATTTTTACGTATTTTTGAAACAGGTTCCGAAGCGTTTTGGTTCTGTTATGCAAGATCATTTTCGACGTTCCAAAGTAAAAGTTCGGTGCTAAGACCACCTAAAGATAAATTTTTAAATGTTCCTATTATTAATTAGAACTGCAGGTTTCGCTTTAGTTTTTATATACTTTACGCTGACATTTATTACTTTAAATCTTTCTAGTGCTAAAACGGAAAATGTGACCTTTTGACCTCTGGGGTCACAAAGAAGAAAGGTGAATTTAGAAAGTTTACATTATATTGAAAGTGTGATTACTTTCGATCATTTTCAGCCAATTTTCATGATACAAGAATGACCACGCATTCACATTCAGTGCAAATAAACCCATTTGACCTTTGACCCCGAATATCTCGAAAACGCCCCAACGGCGGACTGATTACCACTCGGCATCGAATTCTACGCAAATGTTTACTCTTGAAAAGTTGGGTCTGGTCTTGTGCCGATTTGATGGACCCCCACCCCCACAAATTAAAACAAATTAACATTTCGTTAAAATGAATTAATATTTGTTAGGAAATAATTCATGACGAAGAGTCGAAACCTGTATCAGAGGCTGCTCGAGCCTTTATTTTCAACAAAAGTTGTAGGGGGGGGGGGGGTAGTTAAGCGATATGTGGGCTCATCTATTTGGTTGAACTGCCGTTGACTGGGATATAATAAAATTATTAGCCCAATCCGAGTTATTATATCTTTATTTTCTTTAAGTTAAGGTTTATAAAATGTCTTTATAAGGATATTATTCCCCTCCCCCCCCCTACCCCATAATTATATAATCCGCCACTAAAGGTATAGGTGGAAATGGTCGCTGGTAATTCATATTCATGTCTTAAAATTCTTTTCATCGAAAAAAGGCAAATGTTTCCTGGTCGACCTCTTTATTCATAACTTTTAGGGCACGTTGAATGTTTAACCGAGTAAATGAATCACAAATTACATCTACAGATATTATAAGCTTTCTCGTAATTAATAATACAATATACATGTACTATTTCAGAAATCCCGTACAAATTAAATTGTGTCCATACTTTCTGAGGTGCTAAAAGTATGTTGCTTTAAATGAGAGAGAGAGAGAGAGAGAGAGAGGGAGAGAGAGAGAGAGAGAGGTACACTCAACTATGGCGTTTTTAGCTTGTTGACCATATAGAGGTCATATTTTTATCCGATTTAAAAAACCGTATTATTATATCACCGTTACACCCCAAGGACGGCTGAGTTCGATTTTCGTGAAAATCGGTCCAAAACTGACAGACAAAATGGCCGCACTTCAATCTAAAAAAAAAATATGGTATATCAAGGTTGTGGACCCTATAGAGGTCACAATTTCAATCCTATTTTGATGAAACTTGAAATGTAAGTTTATAACCCAAAGATCTCGGTTCTTGTCGATATTCGCGCATATCGGAACGTAACTTCCTGAATTATGGCCCATGATTGTACGAAAAATCGCGTTTTAGCTTGTTGGCCCTATAGAGGTCATAATTTTTATCCGATTTAAAAAATCCTATTATTATATCACCGTTACACCCTAAGGACAGCTGAGTTCGAATTTCGTGAAAATCGGCCCAAAACTGACAGACAAAATGGCCGCCCTTTCGTCTCATAGCGTAAAAATATGTTATATCAAGGTTGTAGACCCTACAGAGGTCACAATTTTTATCCGATTTTGATGAAACTTGAAATGTAAGTTTATAACCCAAAGATCTCGGCTTCTTTCGATATTCGCGCATATCGGAATGTAACTTCCTGAATAATGGACCCTGATTTTACGAAAAATCGCGTTTTTAGCTTTTGGACCCTCGTTACATTATGTTTTTTAAATCGGATAAAAATTATGACCTCTATAGGGTCAACAAGCTAAAAACGCGATTTTTCGTACAATCAGGGGCTATAATTCAGGGAGTTACGTTCCGATATGCGCGAATATCGACAGGAACCGAGATCTTAGGGTTATAAACTTACATTTCAAGTTTCATCAAAATCGGATAAAAATTGTGACCTCTATAGGGTCCACAACCTTGATATAGGGTCCACAAGCTAAAAACGCGATTTTTCGTACAATCAGGGGCTATAATTCAGGAAGTTACGTTCCGATATGCGCGAATATCGACCGGAACCGAGATCTTAGGGTTATAAACTTACATTTCAAGTTTCATCAAAATCGGATAAAAATTGTGACCTCTATAGGGTCCACAACCTTGATATAGGGCCCACAAGCTAAAAACGCGATTTTTCGTACAATCAGGGGCCATAATTCAGGAAGTTACGTTCCGATATGCGCGAATATCGACAGGACCCGAGATCTTAGGGTTATAAACTTACATTTCAAGTTTCATCAAAATAGGATTGAAATTGTGACCTCTATAGGGTTCACAACCTTGATATAGGGGCCACAAGCTAAAAACGCGATTTGTCGTACAATCAGGGGCCATAATTCATGAAGTTACGGTCCGATATGCACGAATATCGAACGGAACCGAGATCTTTGGGTTATAAACTTACATTTCAAGTTTCAACAAAATCGGATAAAAATTGTGACCTCTATAGGGTCCACAACCTTGATATACCATATTTTTACGCTATTTCAGAACGAAGGACGGCCATTTTGTCTGTCAGTTTTAGACCGATTGTCACGAAATTCGAACCCAACCATCCTTAGGGTGTAACGGTGATATAATAATACTTTTTTCTTAAATCGGATAAAAATTATGACCTCTGTAGGGTCCACAAGCTAAAAACGCCATAGTTGAGCGTACCCACCCCTCTCTCTCTCTCTCCCTCTCTCTCTCCCTCCCTCCCTTCGTTTAAACGAATTAATTATTTCGTTTAAACGAATTATTTGTATTGTTTAAACGAAATGGTTATTTCTTTATGTATTTTAGGAAAGTATTCAAAAGGTACTCCTCCGAGTCCAGGATCCTTAGCTCGAGTCCCTGGTATGGTCCTCGATTGCCAAGCCATGACACCACTGTTTCGCTATGATCATAATACACAGATACATTAATACCTACCACATTAAAGGGACATTAACACTCTTGTTGGGTTAACAGCTCCAGAAAATAAAAAAAAGCCCTATTCTAAGTATTAGATGTGTTAGTGTCCTACCTGTTGTGTAAATTATCCATTAAATCATATTTTACTTGTCCAGAGGGTTCAAAAATATTTTAAAATCCAAGTAACATCTGAAAAGCTTTACGTCAGGCTTTTCAAATCATTTAGTTGAATGTTTCCAATTTTTTAAATTAGGTGTGTTAAGATGAAATTTATATCATCAAAGATTGGGACATATTATTCAGTTACAACAAGAGTGGTATTGAGCCTTTAACATAACAATGCACACTCAAGGTTACATTGGTTATATAATATCATCTGTGTTTTTATAATAGTATACCATACAGGTATATACAAGTTGTGCATATATTTTAAGGTGGTAAACATAGATGGTAGTGATGCTATCAGGACAATAAAACATTGCATAACGTTTGTCCAGATTAGTGCAGCAAAGTAAGATATTAAACCTAATTTCATAATCAAGCCATGGATTATTTAGTTTGGGATGGTAGTTAGCGCAGTTACGATTTGGGAAATTCTAAATTAATAATCGGGTTTAAAATGTAAAAATAATCCTTTCAAATTTTGAACATTGAAGATGAGACTAATCTTAGTGGCTCAAATAATAAGTATTTTAGATCTTTCTGAAATGGAAATCCATTTTTTAACTAGATCTGTTCGCGAAACAGGTTTAATAGTTTTTATACAACCCAATCATACACTCATACATTAATGTCAACATCTCGTAGATCAATATGTTTTGTTGTCCTGGTTTTTTTTTCAAGAATCTGAAAGAAAAAAAAAAGGATTATTAAAATCTGTCAAAAAGTCCCTATTTTATATAACAAAAACATTTCAGCAAGCTAGGTTCCTGTTTTTTTAAAAAACAAATTGCACATAACCTATGTTAACAGATCGATTGTTGTAAAACTTTCAGAATAAGCACCAAATAGCCTAGTTAATGGTTTACCGTCAACATTTTACCGATTTCAGAGTTTGACATTTTTTTTAAACAAGCGGTTGCCATGCAAAATACGCCCACATTTTTCAAGAGATGGACAGAGAACAAGCTAAAAAAAAAGATGTTTTTGTACAACCAGGATACGGTCCGATATGCGTGAACCTAGATCTTCGGGATATAAACATATTTGAAGCTTCATCAAAATCAGATAAAAATTGTGACCTCTACAGGGTCCACAGCCTTGGTATAACATACTCGTATACTATTTGCGTACAAGGAGTTAAGCGGCCATTCTGTCGGGCAGTTTCGATCCGATTTTTACGATGTTCAAACTCAACCACCATTATGCAATACGGTGTAACGGTGATATATTTAAACGGATTTTAAAATCAAATAGAAATTTTTGTCCCATCTGAACGACTGAACATTGTACCTTGCTAGGCCCTCCACTCTGCACCAGGGACACGAGGAAACCACGAGGAACTGTCTCGGGCAATACTCGTAGCGAACCATCTGGTTAGCGAGGCAGCACCTTTCTCACTGAGCCACCGTGGCTCTTTTGAAAAAATAAAAATAAGATTAGATTTTCAAAAGGGCTCAAATGTTCTTAACGACACCTGCAAATCTTCTAAGTATGATACAATCGTTTTACTTTAAAACAGCGCCACATGAGAGCTTTAGTTTTAATGGTATTCAATGAAGGCCTATAATTACGTACTCAAATGGCTTATTTTCACTGTAGAACCAAAAACACATATTTTGGTAAACATTTAAATTAAACATAATCAATATTAAAGGTGTTGTGCCAAAAATCTATCAGATTAATCTTTTTTTTAAAGTTGCACAGAACCTTTGTTTATAAACTGATTTTGATAAAACTTTCAGAATATGCACCAAATGACTCAATTTATCGTTCGTTAATGACATTTTACCTGATTTCAATTTCAATCTAGGTCAAATATCAAATGAAATAGTGTTTAACGTCCTACTGTTCTGCTAGGTCAAATGTCAAATTTCTACTGCGACAATCGATTGCGAATAGTAAATGCTTTCCAAAAATATCAAGGTATTGACATTCGGATAAAAGGACGAGTAGGATTTTGAAGATTGCCTTACATTTTCAAAATGGTGGCACTTTCGGTGAATTTTAACTTTATGAGATTACTCTATAAAGTAGATAGAGGATTCGTATTGACAAATATTTTTAAATAAGGCAAAATTAAAAAAGTTGAAAATCTGACGTCATCTTCTAAGTGGAGATAATCGGAAATTTTTTGTTGACATTTTTGGCTTAATCCACCCATTTGTAATGTATTCTGAAAGTTTTAAGTCGAAATCTTCAAAAATAAAAAAGTTCCGCTCAGAATGTCCACCCTTTTCACATTTGAGCATAAAATTGGGCCATACAAACAGCTACAAATTGGTGAAAACCGCATTCAAATTGGTTGAAAAACAAAAAAAATTTCCTTTGATGTCTAATATTGGTCTATTTTCGTCGATGACGTCACTCCCTGTTATCATTTTTAAAGTTTTAGTTATTCATTCAACTTTTGAACTAAATAGATTTCGGATAGTATAGAGTTTTATTCTGTAGAGCATGTACTTTTTCAAAAAACGCGAGGAAAAAAAAAAATAATAATCCGAACAAAAGCAATAGTAGAATAAAAACAGGGGTCACGGTGGCTAAGTGGGTAAGACGCTGGCCGAGAAAGTTTCTCCAGATTTTCCGGCGTGATTTCCCCTTGTCAGTGATGCCGGACGGAGGGCCTTACAAGGACAGCTGTCTAGTCGTTCGGATTGGACAAAAAACCGAGGTCCCGTGTAAACATTGACGTGTACGTAAAATATCCCTTGACAGTTGGAATTCGATATAAGAGTAGGCCATAGTGCCACTGTCCGGGCAAAATTTCCCTCATAGCACTCTGTATGGCATATGCCCGTCTTTATTAGCCCAGTTCGGAGCAGAACAGTGGGACGTTAAACTCCAATTCATTTCATTTCAGTATAAAATCTAATTAGAATGTTTTTGTAACTTTATTTTTTCTGTCATTTATTTCAGACAAAAAAGACTGTTAAATAAATTGAAACGAACAAACCTGTAGACAATGTTTCGGGGAGACTTTGTAGACGAGTACAAAAGTAAAGTTGAATGTAACCTAAATAAGTTGAGGGAAGCAGCAGATAGTGACGATGTAGTAGAGAATCCATACTTTCCAGATTTTAAAGTAAGTCCAAGGATGTCGGCAATGATTTCACTTATAAAAGATACCAAGAGTATTTACTATGCTTCATGTTTGGAGGAATCTGAACAAGAGAAACACCAACAAGAAATAGCCGACTACATCAGTGAAAATAAACAGATCCTGGGAGTTCTGTGTGATATTGTTGTGGATCCGCCTAAGCCAAGCTGTCCTTTTATTGGCGAGTTGCAGATGATGTCACTATGGCTGGTGCTGAACCTTACGGACGAATCGGAGAATTTGTGTGAAGCTGTTTGTCAAATACCAGAATATCTTGGCTATTTAAAAGGCATTTTGGATAATAATGAACCCGATGATGACGAAATGTCAGATGTAAGTGTGAAATTATTGAAATACCATTATATTTTACTGTTCATGTAGTAAGGGGTTCTTAACAGCGGCCACCACGTATTCGGGACATCAGGGGCCGGTTGCTCAAAGCTCCGCTATCTTTTAAAGATCCGTCAACATGGAGTTAACGGATCGTTAACTTTTAACGGGGAGAAAGGTTGTTGCTGGAAGCCCCGTTAACTTTAACGTGTAGTTAACTTGGCGTTATATTTAACGGAGGTGTTGGGCGCCGTTATCTGTTTAATGATGGCATTAGTTGCCTGTAGCAAAAAGTCATAGATTGCCTATGTAATTTTCTATAGAACATTCTAAAGGATTGGGCGATGAAATTCTATACTATTTACTGAGTTTTGTTGGCCTGTAAGAAATAATGGCCCCATAATTCTGTAGTGCAAATCCCATAAATATTCCTACAGATTTATGCTAAAATTTCTAAAGGAAAAATTAAAGTATTCTACAGTGTTTTCTGTAGTAAATTCTAGTTATCATTTTGTCTTTAATCAAGTTTTGTGAACAGAATGCACAGTTAGTTGCCTAACTGTCTTCAATTTAGGCGGAAATTACGCCGTAAAAAAATTTTTTTTTTTCACTTGAAGAAATATTCGTTTGAAAAGTTTAATACATAGTTTTTGCCAAAATAAATAACCAGATGGATAGAGTACAAGCTAAAAAAACGATCATTCCTAAATCGGGGGACATAATCCAGGAAGTGGTGGTCCAATATTCGCAAATATCAAAATCAATATTTTAAATTTCATTAAAATCAGATAAGAATTCTGACCTCTAGTCCACAACCTTGGTATTACATTCTTTTACACTATTTGCGTACAAGGAGCGGCCATTTTGTCGGGCAGGTCGGTCTTATTTTCTCCTCATTAGGTTGTACCACTGATATACGTAAACGTTTTTTTTAAAATGGGATAAACATTGTGACCTCTGGATTTTTTGTACAACCAGGGGCCATAATCCAGGAAGTTACTATCCGATATGCGTGAATAGGAACCGACATATTTTGGATATAAACATATATTTTAAGTTTCATCAAAATCATACAAAATTATTACATACTTTTACACTATTTGCGGCCATTTTGTCGGGCAGTATAGATCCGATTTTTACGAAATCATATCAAGGTGTAACGATGATATATTTAAACGATTTAAAAAATCGGATAAAAATTGTGACATATAGAGTGTCAAGCTGAAATCGCATTTTATTTCGTGCAATTAGGGGTCATAATCCAGGAACTTGTCTGATATGCAAATGGGTCATTCCATGTCAAGTGGACAAAATTTCGGAAAGTTGGGAACAAGGTGTAGCCTTGGTTATATTAACCAGTGAAGAACCTTGCATCTGGAGATCAAGGGCTTCTATCATATCCATACCAAGTACAGGAATGCCATTTTCAACATGGACAATACAGGAAGCATGTCGGACTTTGTACTTGACAGTAGCTGTAAACCATTCAATTGTAGAAATTTTATCTGAAGAATAAGACCTTAAATGCACCAAAGGAAGCTCTAATGGAAACCGTGAGAATGTATTGTAATACATGAGGGTAATACATTTATCAATGAGGGTACGGACACTACCGGTATCAACCATCAATGATTTAAGATAATAAAGGCCCCAAATTATTATGCGAATGGTAATAAAAAAAAAGAGTATTTTACACATAAAACTTCGTCATGGATGCAGTTCCTTTCACTCAAATCTGTTTCGGATAAATTTAACTGAAAATCCTAAATGTTCGTGTGGTTCGTCATCCGAAAACGCAAGGCACTATCTTATAGAATGTAATTTGTTTTATATTGAAAGAAATGAACTTTTCGATTCTTAAGGGGCTTCAGCATCATAACCTTAAATATACTTCTTTGGGGTGATTCTAGTTTAAATACTGACAGTAACGTTTATATCTTTAATCAAGTACAAAAATATATTAAATCAACTAAAAGGTTCAATTGATAAATATGTGTAGTGTAGTTTCTTTTTTTTCTATTTGCACAACTGTCAAAATGTGTAGTTTTTTTTTGTTGTTGTTTATTTTTATGTACATAATACTATTACGTCGATTTTTTATTCGTAATGGTGAATATTCATATTGAAATTCAAAAGAAGACACTAAATTCCCCAGTGAGATTCTTTGGGAATGTCAAAAAAATTACTTCCATAAACCAAATATTTAAGAATTTCTCTATAATGGGATTTTTAACTATTTATTATAACATTTATATCCTGCGTCTGTTTTATCCTTAACAATTGTACTATTATAACTGTCAATTACACAGTTCGTAACTTTTGCCCCAATCCATTTGTACTTTATTTATGTTCTAGTACAATAAAATATGTTTAACCTAAACCTAAACCAATGATTTAGGGATGTCATTTATAAGCAAATGACATTTAGTTGAATTATTAAAGGTACGGGATGTAAGAGTCAAAACAAAAAATTATCTTCGTCAACATGATTAACTGTACTTTGTCCTTGTTTTCGACATTTTCTGCATGTTTCTTTAATAGCACGACATTGTGTACTATTAGTAAGATGCTTAGAAAGTTGAAGTATGGTAATGCAGTATCACTATCACTATAGACACCTCATAACTACAGGCTGCCATTCTTAACGCACCGTCTTGAAACTTTGTATACTTATGCCTTATACGCTAAGGATGTTCCCTATTGTTTTTGCTGTGTGTCCAAATCCTGAATCGCATTTTGAATGTGATGATAAATTCGCAATGTACACCAACAGCTGTCTTAGATAACACAGTAAAGAGTTCCACTCCTAATAGAAATGTGAGTTTAAAGCAACTAAAAACCTGAAAAATATTACTGAATTTATGGTCCGTTACAGCCCCCTTCATTTCAAATGGCCATATTTCTGCGAGTGTTTGACCTAGACAGGTAAGATTTGTTAGCTTAAGACCTTACACTATATAACATATGTTTTAATAATTTTTGGGAGGGGGCCATGGTGCCACCATTAGTCTTGTTGCCATGAAATGACCCAAATGCATTTTTTTTAAAAAAAAAATAACAATTATCAATTTTACAGGAAAGAACACTTCAACGCACAAATTTAAGAACGTGGGAAATATGAAGACGAAACGAAATTTCGGTAACAAGAGGGGGGGGGGGGAAGTGGAATCTTTATTGCTTTGCCTACCTTGTAAAACTTTTTGAGTAATTAAAGTATATATATATATATATATATATATATATATATATATATATATATATATAGCTGATGCATTGGTTTATCAGTCACCATTTCTCTGTGCTACAAGTCGTTTAAAGATTAAAGATTAAAGCTCATAGCTGCATCGCATGTTTAGTATACTGTTTATTGCTTTTGTTGAAAGTTTAAAATTTTTATTTTTTACCAGGAAGACAAGAAATGTTTATCTTATGTCATTACGATTGTCAACAACCTTGCAATGGATGACAACAACATTAATGTGTTACGTAATGAAGATTTTCAAACATCACTAGCAAAATACATAGCAGCTGATGATGATGATACAGCTCTAACTGCTCTTCTTGGTTTGGCTGCTATTATGTCAGAGGATGAAAACACATCTATCGAAGCTTGTACTTCAAGTATTAGCACTTTAATGGAGGAACTTGAAGAAAGTCTGGACAGTGATGTTCACAGATCAAACAGTGGTTGGAAAAGCCTTGAATTGGGATCGGGTAAGGCTATTGAATTTTAACAGAAGAATATTACCATTACATTAAGAAACACCATGTGCTATGCATCACAATGACATTGGTTTTTTTGTTTTGTTTAATTCAGGAATTCTAAACCTAGCTAGATTTGACGGTAACAAAGCCCTATTTGTGGAAAAAAACTGTTTGCCTAATATGTTGAAGATGGCCAATTCCCAGAATTCAAGTGAGCGGGAAAGTATGTTTTTTTTGTTTTCTTTTCAAGCTACATCCACGGTTCGATTCGATAATCTGTGTCCAGGTTGGGTGGTGTAGGTTTAATCCACTGTTTCAGCATGAATAAAAAATAAACGTGAATGATATGAAATGTCGTTATACTCTGAACATTGCGATGGTTTGGGTTATTGTTTTGATCCGGGCAACTGACACTGATATCCGATCGTGACAACAGAGCCCACATTCTCAAACCAATTAGAGTCGGTATACTGTTTGTTAATAACCTGACATATGTCGCATTCAAAGTAGCTAGACTTGTTCTTAAGGTAAAAAAAAAGCTACGGAAAGGCTGACTTAAGTCCAGCTTAATAGGAGCTTCGCAAAGTCAAGGATAATTAAATTAACCTGAAACCCGTCTTGATTTACTTCCTAGTTTAGAGTTAACCAGGTATTGATTAATAAACATCATACTATATTTATTTAGATGGGGCGTACGCATCAAATTATATGATAATTTGATACTGCTGTAAAATGGCATATTGCTTACCGTATAAATAAAAAGATAACTGTATATGTTGTATTATACTGATTCCCAACTTTTGTAACGATGGGAGAGATACCACATGTCACTGTTTTTTCATATTGGGTAATTTCCTGGCTCGGATTGCAACACTACAATGATCCCATTAAAAAAGATATATATCTGTAATATGCATAAAATGTATTTTATTTGCCAGTTGCCATATTGTGTTTATGGACACTTGCTTTCGACGATGATGTCAAAAAGAAAATGGTAGATGAGCCCGGACTAATCCATTTTCTGGATGAAAAACGTCAATCATCCGACGACGAAAACAGTGATGAAAAAATAGCTTGTCATAATATCCTATGGACTCTACGATACGCTCTTCTAGAATCTGAGGACCACCAATCAATTGGTGGGTATACAAAGATTATTAGTTAGATTCAGATCTTTTGGTTATAAAAAATGAAATGAAATGCTTAATGTCCTACTGTTCTGCTCCGACTGAGCTAATGAAGACGGGCATACGCCATACAGTGTGCCAAGGGGGAATTGTTGCTCGGACAGCAGCGCTACGACCTACTCTTATATCCAACTGCCAAGGGATCTTTAACGTGAATGACCAAACTCTGCCAAAAATATGTGGATCACATACTGACAGCCTATTAATTTAAAATGGACAATTAATTAACAACTAATGCAAATCCTGTTGGTTAAAGCTTATTTTAATACTCTGTGACATTATTCATTAGGGTAGAAGAATACTATCGCCATTTCAAAATTTTCATGATGGTAAATCTCAAACGAGTTCGCTTACCGTGAACGCGATATCGGACATGGTTCTAATTTTAAATTAATGGTTATTGCACCGTTTACGGTCAAATTTATGAAATCTTGTAAAGAATAGGATTGTGCTTTCAACATAATTTTAAAACAGTTGGTGAAGCTTTTAAGGAAGATACACATTGAATTTCAAAATGTTTGGATCTTAAATATTGAACTGGGGATTTTGTTTATTTAAAACTTGCGCTGTAGGACTTGTTGACAATGCTTGCACGGACCTATTTGCGTCCGATATTTTCTTAGTTGTGCTGGTTCTTTTTAACATCTGTGCTTAACCAGGATTCTTTTATTCTTTCCATTAGGAAAAAAAATGACTGAGGGTGAAAATGAAGATGATGATGATGATGATAGTGATGATAGTGATGATGATGATGATGATAGTGATGATAGTGATGATGATGATGATGAGGATGAGGATGAGGATGAAAAAGGTGATGGAGATACTGAAGATTTTACAAACGATGCAAGTGAAGACCTAGAAAAACACATAAAGCAACAACATAAAAATCCAACCGAAAAATTGGAACACTCAAATAAAGATATTGGTCACGTAATGATAAGCTACAATTGGGATAAGCAAGATATGGCGTTGAAAATACGAGACCAACTCAAGTCCAACAATATAAGAGTATGGATAGACGTTGATGATATGGAAGGGTCAACACTAGACGCCATGGCCAAAGCTGTTGAACAAGCTGAAATCGTGATCATGTGTATGTCTCGAAAATACAAAAACAGTGAAAATTGTAGAGCTGGTAAGTATACATTTAACTTATATACGACAGCTCTTGTTATATCATTTAATTTACATACGGCAGATCTTAGCGTGCCCCTTTAATTTATATACGACAGCTCTTATCATGGTATTTAACTTATATACGACAGCTCTTGCTTCTTCTTCTATTAACGTTTATCGTCCGCTTCTACCAATGGTGATATCGCAGACAGTTAGTCTTATTTCATTATGCTTAGCGCACACGCAGGGTTCTTTATTGTGGGAGGGAAAAGGAGTACCCGGGGTAAACCCACGAGGTTCAGAAAGCGCAGCTATCTCCAAGCCACATACGCTCATACCAGGGATCCAAACCACGACCACAAGCCATATGTCCACCTTTTTATTACGGTAAACATAAGATTAAACTATGTTATATGTTTGGAGAGAACTTATATATGGCTTTGCCTGTTGTTCAATCCAATTCAGTTTATTGAATAAAATATTTTTTAAAATTACTTCGCCAGGGGTGTACCGGCAAGCTAGAGCTCCCAGCGCGAATCCCTAGATCACTACCCCGAGCCCCACCCCCATGCCACCCCAACAGCTTTTGTCGTGCATTTTACTTATATACGACAGCTCTTGTCATGTCATTTAACCTGAATAAGACAGCTCTTATTATGGTATTTAACTTACATACGGCATCTCATGTCTTAAACTTTAACTTAATATATGACAGATCTTGCCTTGGCATTTAATTTACATCAGCTCTTGTCATGTATATGGCGATATTCTCAAACTGGGTAATCTGTGTATGCAGAATAGGCTTTAAAGAGAAATGTGCTTGTACAACACAAATTCGCCGTCTTAAATTCAATTACAATTTTAGTCATGTCTCTATATGTTACGTTTAAATGCTTGGGCGAGGTGAGTAATTGACCCTATTAGGTAAGACAATCATATTTAATACACATCGGAATTCTATAACTTACATACATACAACATGGAGTAAGTAAGTACATTGTATATTCTTCCAAAACGCTTGGCGAATCGCTATGGATCTGGTTGTTTGAATTTGTCCAAAATATCTCTCTTGCCTTTTTAACGACTACCTGATCGCGGATGCCAAGGTTAAATGATAAGGTCCTGTTCTGTTACTCTTGGAGCTTCTGGATTACAGCGGTAAAATTAGTCCCCATACTGGTGATGTTAGTATAAATGTGTTTTTTCCAGAGGCTGAATATGCCTTTAAGAAAAAAAGAAGGATAATACCAATATTGATGGAAACTGCCTACGAACCTGATGGATGGTTGGGTATGATTCAGGGATCAAAACTGTGGTATGATTTTAGTGATGAGAAGTTGATGAATTCAAACGTGGGCCGATTTTTAAAAGCGGTAAAAAAATTCACTGATGCAAAGTAAGGTGTTCTTTTTTTTAATAACACCACGAATTTTTATAAAGATTAATTAAAGCTAATTTTAATACCATTGTATATCATTGGTCTTGTATTAATAATACCACGAATTTTTATAAGGATTAATTAAAGCTAAATTTAATACCATTGTATATTATTGGTCTTGTATCAATAACACCACGAATTTTATAAAGATTAATTAAAGCTGATTTTAATACCATTGTATATCTTGTATTAATAACACCACGAATTTTATAAAGATTAATTAAAGTTAATTTTAATAGCATTGAATGTCATTTAAATTGAAGTTTGTAGTATGCTTTAGATTTGAGGTTGTTTGGATAATGTTTCTTTCTAGGTATATTGATATCATTTAGGCCACTTCTTCGAGTATCAGTATTTCGAATTCGATTGATGGGGTTGGGCATCACACGCAGATCAAAATAATAGTATGATGTTAGAGATGACCAGTTGATAGTTAAATTAAAGCAAATTTTAAAGGATTTCACAATATTATTGTATGTCTTTTTAAAAAAAAGGGTTTTGCTGTGCATTCTTCTTTTAAAAAAAAAAAAAAAAAAAATATCATTATTGTGTATCTCACAATTTCAATAGTCAAGCTCATGCAAGGTTTCGAGCAAGGCATTGTCAAATGCTGTTCCATACGTGGTGTTGAGCGTTTAGCCCAACAAAAATTTGGTTAAAAATAGGAGCCGGACCTATGATCATAATAATAATGTAAGAATACGACCAAATTGAATGGTGTGATAGCAGTTAATATTCTACAATCAATTGTGCGTGTACGAAAGTTGATTTAACACTACTCTACGTAATCAGGTAAAATATATAAAGATACAATCAACATGGTGTCTCAAAAAATGACCAGTGTGCACGAAAAGTTTAATGAAATGTAAACAATTGAAAAAAAAGTATGCATTATATCAATCATACGAGCGTATCTATATTGCATCTAGAAATTCGTAACCTGCGATATTTCGTGTAGGAATTACAAATAAATGATTTCCGTAAGATTATTTTTCATGAACTAAAGGTCTCTACATAATATTAATGAGGGTCCACTAAACTCAATTTTTCATTTTCCCAACAAAGGAAAGAAAAACCCAAAACACCACAAACATCGGAAATTAAATGACGTAGATATATAACGGTTTTTCTGAGTCTTATTTGTGATCCCACACATTTATGTACTTCTATTTATCCCCAGTTGTATCGTTTCGTCCATTATACCTGGGTTTATTCATGAGTGAGACACTTAGTCAAATTATCCAACGTTGATACTTGTGCTATTTTTATTGACCAATCGAGTGGACAAAGGGAAGTAACTCGCCTTTTATTGCACCTAAGATTAGGCTCAGACTCGTAATTATTTGCCCATTGACTTCAATGTTAAATGGCTGTAACATCACAGGCTGTAGCTTTTTGCTCAACATTCCGTTGGTTCCAATCTTTGTAGGCACAATGGGGACAACATTTGGCAATCTCCTCATCATAATTTTGTAGGGTTTGACCGTTTAGATTTTTTGCTACGCGGATTTGAAGTTAACTCGGGTGAAAATCTCACTTCCGACGACACAATGATTGCTCTGCAGGAGGACACTTTACACCCCCTATCCCTCCGCTGTAATATCATCAGTATTACCCAAAACTGCTATGAAATTGCAAATTTGATACCTTGTCTCCAATTCTAGAAAATATCGATACAATTGTTAAGTTAAATATGTGCTAATAGACGCAATAATAAGAAAATTTTCCAACATTAAGAATTTTCTGATAAATTTTCTGCTAGCCGAGAAAGTTCATTCAGATTTTCCGGCGTGGTTTCCCCTTGTCAGTGATGCAGGGTGGAGGGCCTGACAAGGACAGCTGTATAGTCGTTCGAATGGGACGAAAAACCGAGGTCCCGTGTACACATTGGCGTGCACGTATAAGATCCCTTGGCAGTTGGAATTCGATATAAGAGTAGGCCGTAGCGCCGCTGCCTGGGCAAAATTTCCCTCATAGCACACTGTATGGCGTATGCCCGTTTTCATTAGCCCAGGTTAGGAGCAGAACAGTAGGACGTTAAACCCGATAATGAAGGACATGTAGATTGTGCCTTTTGGTATTTTGTAATATTTCATGAAATTAATATACTATTCAAAAAAAGTAGGGGGTATTTGATTTTTAAGTGTTATTAAAGTCACCTAATGAAACTGACGAAGAAACAAATGACAAAATGAAATGAAGTTCACATTCATCGATTTATTCCAAATGATCGTTAGACTAAGTAAGGCACAGATTGTCCCATTCCTGTTGCAACGCAGCAGCAAGTTCTTGGACATTGGCAGGACGTTGTTGACGTTGACGTAACCTCTGTCCAAGCATGTCCCAGACATGCTCGATGGGGGAGAGGTCGGGACTCAGTGCTGGCCAAGGTAATGTGGTGATGTTCTGTTGTTGGAGGTAACCTGTAACGATCCTGGCCCTGTGACATCTTGCGTTGTCATCCTGGAAGATGAAACGGCGGCCATGACGTCGTGCGAACGGCACAGCATGGACTGCCAATATGTTGTCCCGGTAGTACTGGCCTGTAACACGCCCTGCAACAACATGTAAAGCCGTTCTTCCAGCAACAGTGATGCCTCCCCACACCATAACAGAACCACCCCCAAATCGATCATGTCTGATGACGTTAACGTCTTGGAAGCGCTCGTTTCGACGACGCCACACCCTCCTACGTCTGTCCAAAAAATCAACAGTGAACCTTGACTCATCTGAAAACATCACATTGCCCCAGCGTCGATTATCCCAGTGTTGACGATCCCTACACCAACGACGTCTTGCCTGAATGTGATGATCTCTCAAACAAGGGATCACGCGAGGACGTCGGGCGCGAAGGTGACCCCTATGCAGTCGATTCCGAATCGTCTGGCCACTCACTCTCACACCAGTGTCTGTTTGAAGACGAGCGCTGATCTGATTTGCTGTGATGACACGATTTCTCAAGGCCAAGGTACGGATAAATCGATCCTGGGCTTGAGTTGTCGCCCTTGGTCGACCTGAGCGTGGTCTGTCCTGTACAGATTGTGTATCACGGTATCTGGACCATAGCCTGCTTATGACAGACTGAGAAACATTTATCGTCCGCGCCACAAGGGCACGTAACCTTTCATTTTGGGTAAGCCGACGCATATCAAAATTTGTTTTCTGGTCACTAAAACAATTAAACTGATGTTTCCACCCTGGAATTCAATGCCACAATGACTGTAACATTCAAAGTCAGAGTCGTGCAAATCTTGGGTTGGACCCCCATGATGATCCCAAGCATCACCTGCATTCCATGCGGTAGCTATTGGTGCGTTTGGGCGTCACATGTAACTGGAAATGTTTCTTCTGTTAGGTTCTATAGTGACTTTTTTCGTAGTCATTTGCATATTTTAGTATTATGCCCCCAAAATCAAATATCCCCTACTTTTTTTGAATAGTATACTAGTCTTTGTCCATTATTGTGGTGAACGTAAGCAATGGTCGGGTCTAAATATTAAGTCTTATTTGTGATCACACATATTTATCTACACCTTCGGTATCCCCAGTGGTATCCTATCGTTGTAATCCATTATACCCTG